CGAGCAAGAAAGGGAAGCCTGGAGAAGCGAACGAAGGAAGCTGAGAAGGATGATTATTGACAGTAAGCGCCGCTGTTGGAGGGAGATATGCGACGAGCTGGATAAAGATATATGGGGGAAGGGTTACAAAATTGTGACCGGCAAGATAGGAAGGAAGGTGAAGGAGGTGGGGTGGAACGACGAGGCATTTGTAACAAAGATAAACGACCTATTCTCCAGGCCAAACGACAAGGCCCCAGGACCGGACGGGGTGCCGGCGCGGGTGGTCAAGGCAGCGGCCACCGCGATCCCGGAGGCTTGGGCGAGGACCATCAACGAGGCAATCGTAACGGGAGAATACCCTGCCCGGTGGAAGGGGAGCAGGCTGGTTCTTATATCGAAAGGAGGAGGAGGACACCGGCCGATATGTTTAACTGACTTCTCGGGGAAGGTGGCGGAGAAGGTGATTAAAAGGAGGTTGGAGGAGGTGCTGGAGCCGAAACTACACCAGCGGCAATTCGGTTTCAGAAAGGGAAGGTCGACAATCGACGCGCTTAAGACCATAGTACGCCAGGTGGAGGAGGCGAACCAGGGTACCTGGAGGACGAGAGAGGTGTGCCTCGTGGCGGCGCTGGACGTTAAGAACGCCTTTAATTCGGCCTCGAGGGACGCCATCGTAAGGGGTCTGAGGGACTTCGAAGTGCCGGCCAGACTGGTACGGTTGGTGCGGAGCTACCTGACCGGCAGGTGCGTGACCGCGCGGAAGCTGTCGGGGGAGACGCACAGTTTCATTTACAGTGCGGGAGTTCCGCAGGGGTCCGTGCTAGGTCCCCTGCTGTGGAATGTGATGTACGATGGGGTGCTGAGTGTGGTGAACGGGAGTGGGATCGAGCTGGTGGCCTTCGTGGACGACGTTACAGTGGTGGTGCGCGATAGGGATGTGAGCAGGGCGAAGGAGAAGATGGCATGCGCGATCGAGAGGGTTAGCAGATGGATGGCGGCGAGAGGTTTAGTTAGTGGCGCAGAAGACCAAGCTGGCCATGCTAACAGGCAAGAGGAGGCTGGCAGCGTTCAACCTGGGGGTGCTCGGGCAGACGAACGAGACAGACAGCAAGGTGAAGGTGTTGGGCGTCTGGTTGGACAAGAATCTTTTATACCGCACGCATGGGAGATCAGCGATAAGCCATGAGAGTATACGGGGCTCTGTGTAAGGTGCTTCCAAACACCGGAGGAGCGCGGGAGAGCAGGAGGCGAGTCATGGCGGCGGCAGTTATGTCAGGCATTCTGTATGCGGCGGAAGTGTGGTGGCCGGCAACTAAGTGGGGCACGGCCATGGCGAGCGCGAACCGGGTGATACGGTTGCTAGCTCTTAGAATATGCTGCGGCTATAGGACGGTGCAGCTCGAAGACGCGCTGGTTCTGGGGGGCTATGGCCCTCGGAGATAGCGGTGATGGCGCGAGCCCAAGGGTGGACGAGAGAGAGAGAGAGAGAGAATGTACGAGGAATGGCAGACAAGATGGGAGAGACGAAACTCCTGGACGAGGACCATTATTCCGGAGGTGAGGGAGTGGTGCGAGAGGGGCCACGGCGAGAGACAGCGATCGGGGAGCGATTGGAAGAGGCAAATGTGGTGAGGATTATGCTGAGAGAGCGCGAGAAGTGGGAGGCCCGTGGCGAAGCTGGTACAGAACAGCGGCAGGGCGAGGGAGAGAGAAGCCCGAGATCGGGAGCCAGATAGTGTTATCCCCAGTGATGTGAGTGCTTGTTGCAAAAGTGCCTAGTTGTTGACGTTTTCGTTAGTAAAGTGTCCAACAAGGTAAGTACTGTATACGATTTATTTCGATTATTAATATGTACCTATTAGACCGGGAGGCAGCGTACATAGTAACTAAACCATAAGCGACAAAAAATTCGACAATACAGGCTGAAAGTACGTTGAAAACTAATAATAAAATCACTCGTCTGCCAGTCGCAAGTGGCAGCATTAACTTGGGGCGGCGCTGAATAGGTGACTTCTTTTGGTGATCAACTAAATTACCAAACTATAAGGGTCACGGAAAAGATTTGTATCAAGAAATCCCATTTTTTCCATAGTTTTCAAATATGCTATGGCAGACGATTTTAAGTGCAGCGTTGATAGCGAAAGACGCCCTCCAATGTAGGGAAAAACACCCCTGAACTAAACCATGAGGACCGTATAAAAATTATACATAAAAAATTCCTCTTTTTGTCACTACTTTAAAATATATCCTGGCAGACGATATTAAGTGTAGCTTTTATAGTGGCAGACGTCTTAGAAGTTAAAAAATTTAGATATACTAAATCCCTGCGAGTGCGAGCGTGTGAGAGTTAAGCGCGCGAGAGCATAACCAACAGAGATAGCGATAGGATACTGACTACTGAGATCTTTCAAACCATTTGATTCTAAACTTCTGATTCACATAGTTCCATCCACTTCAATCAAACGGATTGTAGAAACTCAGACATTTTGCGGTGGCATTCGCTCAAATTGCGATGAACTAAACCATGAGGACCATACACAAGTCATACATCCGGTAAATGCGTGGGAACCCGGTAACGCGTTACCCTGCGCGTTACACACATCAACACCCAAATTCACGAACATCTCTCGAAGATTTATGAATTTCAGCGTGTTATTGGAAAAGAGACCTACTTCCATCTATACCTTGATGGTAGCGTCAATTTTACATTTCCCAAAGCAATAACAGCAATATCCATATTGGAAGCGCTAATAATGACTTTGCTACTTGTTTGGTAGTTTACCAAGATGGTAAATTATTCGAGAATCTGCCTCTTAGTGGCTGCAGCACAATTCAGTTTTTACCACATCATTTTCCCTTGTCACAAATTTATAGCACTTATCTTCATATGTGGCAAACACAACTTTCCTTCCAAGTAAAGCACAACACGTCTTTTTTGCCTATGCACGGTATAAGTAATCTATAAGAGAGGCTTTGAGCTATCATTGCGAAGTGGTTTTATGAAATTTGCAGGCTGCTTCTGAGTGGAAACAGAAATTAAGTAGGATTGTAATCTTTCCTTATTTTGATCCCAACGATCATGTTCTGCGTCCTTCATGGAAGGGGTAACCATCTGTCAAAAGTAAAATGTACTTCTCTCGCTGACACAGCACAAATCTTGCCGAGGATGTGTTCAGAAAATCGCTCAAAGGTTTACCGGAGATCTTTTAAAAGATGCAAAAAAAATAATCCATCGATTAAAACAACATCTACAACTGGAGTCAGAGGATAGTTTAGAACGAGCTGAAGATCTATCTTCTTTTCTCTTCAAGTTTTCTGTTTCTCAGTCTGAGAAGAATTCAAGAAATACCGACAATCTTATAGTGAAATAAACAATTTATTATTTTCCCTAATTTAATTCGTTTGGTAACTCCAAGCGGTGCGTAAATCTATAGCTATCTCTGTTCGTTGTGCTCTCGCGCGCTTATTTCTCACACACTCGCACTCGCTGGGATTTACTGTACCTAATTTTTTTTAACTTCTAAAGGTCGATTCACATTATACGACACGGACCGACACGTTCCGGCACCGATACGTACCGTCAACGACACGACAATTTTTGCGTAGCATTCTCACTACACCGACAAATTTCAGCAGTCACGTAGGCAGTGGTTATGGACGAGTCATCCAGTGACGATGATTTGGCTTTTGTAGCCTTGCTGTTAGATGAGGAAGAAGCTGAAGGGTTAAAAAAGAAAAAAAAGGGGCGAAAATGGGTACATCCAATTTTAAAACATAGAAAAATTGAAGGGGAGCATTGGACATTGTTCAAGAACTTGTTAAAGTATGACGACAAGTTTTATCAATATTTTAGGATGCCGCAATACAATTTTTTTGATTTATTAAAATCAATTGGACCGGATTTACATAAACAAAATTCGTGTTTTCGTGAAGCAATTTCGCCCACAGAAAGACTTGCAGTATGTTTAAGGTAAGTACTTTTATTTATACTAATTTACATATTCTCAGTATATATTGTTTCTTGGTTTAAATGTTGCATTGAAATCGACGATGGGAAATCGTAGCATGGTGGTGACTGAATTGGCGTAGCAATTCTCGAGGACGAAGAAGATGACGTAGTTTGTAGGGTTGATGACGATGGTGTTGGTGACGGTGATGGCACACTTATGCTTTGAAATTGCGTTGGTACATACTGAGGTCGTTGTGTGGGCGTGTTGTTGGAGAAAAATTGTGGTGGTTGCACAATTTGTTTCATTTCAAGATCACTCACAATGGAGAATATGTGCGATTTAGCTACGTTCTGATGATAAGGAGAAAAACTTTTGACTGTTGTTGCAATACTCGAGAAAAATGTATCTATTGCATTGGGCTGTTGAGTCGACTGCTCTTTAGTAGCTTTTTTATTTAGCAAATATTTCATCATTACTGCTGATGCTGTTTCTGGTTGTGTTTGATTTCTCGTTCCCTTTCTTCTAGCAGCGTTGACAATCTTTCGACTGAGTTCTTTTTCCTTTCTACCATCCTCGATGTGTAACTGACCATCCACATCATCTGTGTTGTTGATCCCATCGTCATCTAGTTTATTTTTACCATCATCTTCGGTTTCCTGTGATTCCTCTTCATTATTCTCATCATCATCATCACTAACATCCTTCAAATTACTGCAAGTGTCTCGTTCTTGCATGAATGGTAATAGGAACGACATCTCATCTTCAAATTTCCATTTCTTGATTTTAGAGGCTGCCTGCCCGCTTTTCGTTTCACGTCTCTTTTTCATCGCTCTTCTAAAGGAATCTCGCAGATTCGTCCATATTTTTTTACAAACTGCCACTAAAAAATGAACAATATTTGTATAAAAAATGTACAGTTAATTAATTTCTAACATATATTGCAGATTCTTAGCTACTGGTGATTCATTTAGAACCATAGCTACCAGTTATCGGCTCGGACACTCAACAGTACAATCGATTGTGATTGAAGTATGTGAAGCAATAATAAAGAATTTGATGCCATTAATGATGCCAAACCCTACAGAAGATAGTTGGAAAAAAATTGCCGAAGAATTTTGGAATGTTTGGAATTTTCCTAACTGCATTGGCGCTCTCGACGGCAAACATGTAGTTATCCAAGCTCCCGCAGACAGTGGCTCTCAGTTTTTTAATTATAAGAAAACTTTTTCTATTGTCCTTCTCGCATTAGTGGATGCACATTATACATTCATTGCAGTAGATATAGGTGGATACGGAAGGAATAGCGATGGAGGTCTATTTGCTAACTCTAACTTGGGCAGAGCTCTTGAAAAAAATAAATTAAATGTTCCAATAGATACTGAGCTGCCTAATACAAGTACAAGTATGCCTTTTGTCATCGTTGGTGATGAGGCGTTTCCCTTAAAAAGATATTTATTGAGACCATATCCTGGTTCGCAAATTCAAGACGATAGGTCTAAAAGAATTTTCAATTACCGCCTTTCACGAGCGCGACGAGTTTCGGAAAATGCGTTTGGAATCCTGAGTCAAAAATTTCAGCTTTATAATCGAAGATTAAAGTTAAAGCCAGAAAATGCAGATAAGGTCATTTTGGCAACGTGTATTTTGCACAATTACCTACGAGACTGCAGCAATATTCCAGATTTTGAGAATAATCCCAACACTGGCATTAATTTGCAAAATATACCACGGCAAGGGGGAAGTGCTGTGAATACTGCATTTACTATTCGCGATAGATTTAGGGAATTTTTTACGTCTGAGCACGGGCGTGTTGAATGGCAAGATACAATAGATTAGAAATTAGTTATACTTATAGTAGTTTATAAATAAAGCTAATGTTTTACCTGACTGGTTCATTTCCTTTGCAATTGCTTTCCATAAATTTTCTTTGTAGCCACTGTCACTATATTTCGGATGGCTTGTGACATATAATGGCTCATAGGCCTTCACATTTGCAATTAATTTGTCTTGATCCATTCTTCGATGCGTTTGTACGCCGCCGTTTACTAATTCACACTGGCACGATAGGACCGACACGTACCGCCAACACCGTCAAAACATTCTTCGCGAGAATGTCGATCGGTGTCGGTACGATCCGTTACGGAAACGTACCGGTAACGGTTAAGTGTAGATGCTTTCATTAAAGATCCTGTTTTTACGTTTTGTCGTGTCGTTGACGGTACGCGTCGGTGCCGGAACGTGTCGGTCCGTGTCGTATAATGTGAATCGACCTATAAACGTAATTCAATAAATATCGATTCTATTGACAAAAAGGTGTAACGACTATTTCAGCTAATTGCGGAGATGTTTAAATATGACTAACTCAGCCGGATAATTTGGCTAGATGCAAAGAAAAGTATTATAAGATTTCAGGGCGCCAGGTCCTATGCCTAGAAATTGACCTCTAATGGACCAATCAGAGGGACAGTTCCACAATCAAGCTGTCCAAGTAATTCCCAATAATTTGTTCCAAAATAACCGATTTATTAGCTCACGGACTAGTAAAAAAAATAATAATAGCTGGTAAATAAGGTGTGTATATTAAAATTTAAATAAAATAGCAATTTGTTGGCTACAGATATACAGCAAAATATAAGGAAAAATATAGATTCAACACTTTCCAGAGTTGGCTTTACATACAGCCATATAAGTCGCGCAAACGAACAATTAACATAAAAAAAATAGAAATTAATTAAAGCTACTCACCGTTTGTCCCGCGCAGTCCAACGTAAGAATGAATTTTTAATTCCACAGTAGTTCGGTGTAGCAAGCGCTTGCTCGACCTACCCTGTAGATGACAAATAAAAAACTGAAGGCAAGAACGACCTGCGCGCAACTGGTGGCACAGTTCGAATTAATTAAATTATAAATAAAATAATAAATAAGCTCTAATACGATATGACCAGCGTTCTGGAAAGCCCTAAATTAACATATATGAAAACTTCTTGTTTAGGTAGGTAAGTATGTACTGTTTCTTTCTTAGGATAATGATAACTTCTTTCAGCTTTGATTGAACTCCAATATGCCACTAGGTATCTTCGCTGGTTTTCCAAGAATCCCAAGCGAATGGTATATAACAATCCCGTAGTAGCAGGTGTAATTCGAAATGAGTAACGATGTTGGTAATGTTACATTTATATCTAATAAGCTATAATGACATAATTTACTTTATAGAGCGCTAATTATACAAGATCTTACCAGGTGTTTGGCTTCTTTCTTCGTGTAGTAAAGATAGCAGATAACAACTAGATCCCACAATGTGGTTTAATTGCCAAGTCTAATCAATGGTACTACTAAACTAATTAATGCCTTGACAATTTCTTCAATAAAATACTGGCGGTAAAATCTGGCCTAATTGCCTATTTAAACTAATTAAAAATGCCACCAAGTAAAAATTATGTACTGCTTTCTATACAGGAAGAGAACAAGTGGTAAGACCTTGA